CCATTTCCGCCTTTTGGCCGTACGTTCACTTTTAGTATGGTTTCCACGCAATCCTTTATAAATGAGACCCCAGATCTCAATCCAACTRAAAATCTTTGGTGGAAGTTGAAGAAAATTGTCCATGACAAGGCTCCAACCTGCAAAGCTGATCTGGCAGCAATCAGAGAAAGTTGGAGCCAGATTGATGAAGAGGTCTGTTTGTCTCTCATTAAGTCCGTGCCTCAGAGACTGCAGYTGTTAGAAAAGCAAGAGGTGGTTCAACAAAATACTAGTGATGTTATAGTGTTTGTTTTTTGTTTCTTTGTTTTTCATGATTCCATAATTTTTTCCTCAGAATTGAGTGATTACATATTTTTCCCCCCTGCTTGGCCCAAAAAATGTAACTGTTACTGACCATCACAACTTTTTATTGATTTTTTTTAGTCTTTCTTAAAGCCAGAAAGTTGCCATTTGAAATGACTTTAGTTTTGCGTCATGTCTGTTATCTGCTTTTTTTGTACAAATTTAAACAACTGAATAAGCATCCTCTGAGGCCGGTGATTCCATAATTTCAGCCAGGGGTTGTAGAACCACTCTGCTACAAATTCTACACCACCTGTAGAGACTTCAGCATAAAAATGCAATAAAGTGAGGGATGAGTTCTTAAATGCACAAATGTAGTTTATCAGTAGTGAACTCATAAGATGTTTAAACTGATCGGAACTATTTTTCAGTCCTAAAACCTCAAACATAGAGCTGAGATATGATCATGGGTGTGCTGGTTTCTCTATTCTCTTCAATCGTCTCCATTGCTGGGTTCTGCCGTTGTGTCCTTGGGCAAGACACTTCACCTGCCTTGCCTATGGGGGTCAGAGGGTCCAGTGGCACCAGTGCATGGCAGCCTCGTTTCTGTCAGTGTGCCCCAGGGCAGCTTTGGCTAYAATGTAGCTTACCACCATCAGTGTGTGAATGGGTGAATGTCTGTAAGTGTAAAGTGCTTTGAGATCTGTAGGGACTTGATAAAATGCTCTATAAGTTCCGTCCATTTACCATTTGTTTGAAATGTTGGTGGGAGCTCAGCTYGTGACCGTTAATGAAGATGATGTAATTCCAAATGTATCCTAGATGTGAGCTACAGATGTGATTGGTTCCCCATGAGGAACATACAGTGGTTTGCAAAAGTATTCATACCCCTTGAACTTTTCCATATTTTGTCACATTACAACCACAAACATAAATATATTTCACTGGAATTTAA